TCAGGCAATCATCCAACGATTGAAGAGCGAACTCGCACCTTAAAGGAAACCAATGTTCATACCTAACCAATCCTGTGTTATCCAGCCTCGTGATTAAAGTGAGCATCCTTTACGCCAATAATGCGACTGTCCCCGAACCGGTTATGTAGCCTATCCCAAACCCAGCAGCTTCAGGCGAGAAACCCTGTATCGGGCAATGTGCATCCATGCGTTTCCAACGCCCATATATTCGATCTCGGATCCTAGCGGAAGGATCATAGCAAACGACGGAGAATCTCAAGCGTCCAAGATGGTGTCACCATCATCATCACTAATTGTTTCAACTTCATCAATGGCGCTATTCCTCTCTCCTCCGCCACCTCTGGACACAGGATCGTAGTCCGCGACATGGATCACGGCTTTTCCTTGGACGTGCTTTACGTTACGCCTCCACTCGATCCAGTCGTCCTCGTCCTGTATCAAGAAACCAATAAGCATGCTGGGGTCCAGCTCCCGAACATGGAGCCGACGTAAGCGTCGAGTATGAGCGGTATCAACATCTGCTTTACTATAGCGAGAAGGATCCGTATGAAATGGGAGTGCAGGTCGGGTATGGTGCGGATCAAGGTAGAACAAGTAGGAACCTTGTGTGCCGATGAAATAGTGAGAAGAGGAAGGTCTGCCACTGTAATGATCGTGAGTGAGTACGCGATATCTAATCTTGATGGAGGCGCCTACCCTGCAATGCCCACTGACTGTGGCATTTGTAGTGCGGCTATGAGAGCCTCCCAGTAGACCGGTGTAATCTTGTCAATTCCGAGCCTCGTACCAACCAATATGAGTGTAGGGTGGAACTGAGAACCTTCAGGTTTGGCTATCTTCATGAAGTTCTCCTCGTAGACATCCGGTCCGTCTCCAGTGGAATACACTCGGAGAGGCTGGTGTTCTTGGGCATTGGCCAAGGCTCTGGTTTAGGAAATTAGCCTGTATGACTGCATCTAGGAACAATATCGCAGGCCTACTGAATGCAGCGAGCGGTGGCCGAGGGGCCAAACCATTCCCCAGGGTATTTCCCACATGCCACTGCGCCATGTTGAACGAATTGATGGATGGAATAAGGCGCTCTTGGATCGTCCGCAAATAAAGAAATCAGCTTTCTCTCCTCTTCAGTTTTATCACCCCGTCGCCATCCTACTACCGATGTCAGCGAAAGGGACTTGCAGCGATAGTAATCGTCAAACTATCCCAGGCAACTCACCGCGCCCTAAGTTGATGACTGCCATCGCATTTGCGAGTAAGCTTTGACCTGATCGGATCATGCATCCCCAGCCACTGTCAGACGAGAAGCCGTTTTGATCCACTAGTTGACTTTTGATACGCATCGAGAAAGATAACGCAGACGAGGCTCGTGGATCTGTAGATTTTGCTATAGCCTGGAACTCTGATCTGTAAGTCATCCAAAACTTGGATTCAAAGTCGTCAAGAAATGCCGAAGGCCAGCCACCGTCCTGCTCCAGGTAGTCCTCATCATAAGCAAGCGAAGACGAAAAGCTACTGGACACAGAATCCGGGGGGGTTTCCGGGGCTTTGGCTGTAGCTAACACCTGTGAGGCTTTTGGCTTGGTATCGGTAGACTCGGTCGACGGAGGGATTTGGCTTCGATTGTCTGTATCCTGATCTTTAGTAGCCTTGGTATTCAGCTTGTAGGAGCGACCCAAGCACCAAACTGGAAGATCACTCTGATGGTCGTTGGTAGGTTGGGGATCCCAAAACATCTGGACGATGCGACGGTATCGGCCGAGGTCCACCGCAGCCATGGCGGATCCGTTCGACTGCGAAGCCTGTCCACAAAGACCTGCGATATGGAACAACTCGTCCTGAAGAAAGATGATCTCGTATGCGCAGTCGACAACGAAGGGAATCTAGTCGCTCTTCCTTCTGAAAGCTGTCGGTGCGACTTTGGGAGTTGTCAAAAGCAAACAGAGGTAAGTTTTGCAGATGACAGTGCAAGCTTAGACAATTAGGCAATTACACTCGAGGCAATATCGATGCGAGGCCGCAGGGGTGATAGATGGTCAAGTTGGTGAGATGGGAAGTCGGTCAGTCGGGGGATGGTGAATGAGCAATGAAGATAGCAATGTCGTATCTACCAAGAAGGCATGCGACGAGGAGGTAGGTAGAGGTGGACAAGCTAGCACAGCCAGACGACCTTACGTGATAGGAAGGAACCCCCCGTAACAGCATAAAGACTACTTGCAGCCCAAGTCTTCAGCTATCTGAGCCGATGACAGGCGGACTGTCCCTGTGACGCATCAGCCGAACACAGCGGGGCTCTTGGTGTGGCTGTCAGGTAGCACTGCTGCACGGTAATGTACCTAGGCAGCCTGTATCTGTAGGTAGATTTCTGCCCCACGTTACGTGGTGAGGGGACAGCAGCCCAGGTCCTCTTTTGATCGGCAACTAGTGCTGGAAGGATAGAATACCTACCTGAGGTGCGAAGCGGGCATTAGTGCAAGGCTTCGGATTTTGGCTAGGTATCCGAGTCGATACAATATCCACAGTACTTCTATGAATAAGGTACCTTACCTTTCATGATCTGTGCCCCGCCTGAGCGTTTCTTATCGATAACAGATGCGACAAGATCTAGTAAGTCAAAGCACCCACTTTTGGGCACCCCCCCTTTTGGGCACCCTAACAAAACATAGTATCTAAACATTAATACTAACTATAATTAATTAATTAACTACTTTTTATTATTATAATAATATAATTAAAATTCTTATTAAGTAATTCGACCCTTATAAATTAATTAAAACTAATTAAATAGTTACTAAAGTCCTCCTAAGCTCTTTATATATCCTAAATATTTACGAACTAAGTATTTAAGTTTATTAATATATATTTTTTTAGGCCTTATATACTTAATCATAGCCTTAAGAACTCGAACTTAGTACTAAGTTTTATCTAATTAATAAGCTTACTCCCTAAAAGCCTTTTTTATTTTTTTAAATAGTAATTATTAAGTATTATTATTTAAACTAAGCTCTATAAATAGTTTTAAATAATTATAAAGCTCGCTAGCCTTTTTAAAAGTTAATTAGTTAATAATAGAAGTTATTAATACTTAGTTAAGTAGTTTATTAGTATTACTAATTATTTACTTAGTTTTTATACTCTTTTTAAATAGTATAACTTATATAAATAAAATTATTAAGTTAAGAAGTAGCTTAGCTATATTAAGTAGCTATAGTTTAGTTACTTTTTATTTATTTTATATATTTAATAATATTAAACTAACTAAACGAGCGAACTAATAATAGTTTAAGAAGTACTTTTTTTTAATAATAATAAAATTATTTATTATATATTTTTTATTAAGCTTCTTTTTATAATAGAACTTAATAAGCTTAAAAATAGCTATATTTAATAACTAGAGAATATAAAAAGTATATAGTAATTAGAATAATAAGTAGATATTATTTTTATAGTACTCTTATATAAATTCTATTATTATATAACTCCTATACTTATTCAATATTAATAATCGAGATTAGTTTAGCTTATTAAGCCCTTTAATAAGGGGAGTCTTAGTTTATAATAAAAATACTTTTTTTAACTAATAAAAAGTAGTTTTATTAGTTATTTAACTATTATTTATTATTATAAACTTCTAATTATTATAAGTAATAAGTTAAAGGGAGAACTACTATTATTAAACCGACTTTTTTTTATAAATAATTAGTAATTTAATAGCTTTATTATTAATAAAAATATACTTAATAATTATTACCTAAGTATACGAACTAAGCTCTTTTTTTTATATTACTATAGCTTTTATTATACCTAAAACTAGCTTATTAGCTCCCTTACTTTTTATTATACTAGTCTTATTTATATTATACTTATTAGCTTATTTAATATTACTAATTTTTAATATATTAAGTAATCTAAATTATAATTTAATTATATTAATAATAGCTTTATTAATATAGTACGAATTTATTAAATAACTTCTTTAGACTCTTATTAATAAATTCTTTTTAATAAATTTTTTTTTTTTTAAATAGTTTAGTATTACCCTAGGATCTTAGAACTTACTTAGTAAATTCCCTAATTTATTTATAAGTTAGTATAATACCTAAGTAATACTAAATTCGAATTTACTAAGCTAGCTAGTCTTTTTATTATAAAAAAAGCTTTTAAAGCTCTATAAATACTCTTACCCTCGTTTAATAGCCTCTTTTTTAACCTTAAAATATTATTTTAAAACCCCCGAACTTAATCAAGGCCCTTTTAATAAAGAGACCGTTTTTAATAATATTAAGTACTTATTAAAGCTTATTTTTAGTATATAATACTATTATTTATTAATTAGTATATATATTAAAAAGAAATATATTTGGACGATTTTTGTAATTATTGTATTGAATTGAAATAATAAGTAGGGTTTTAATGTAGTAGTTGGGAGGGATTTTTTGGGGTACCCAAAAGGGGGGGGTGCCCAAAAGTGGGTGCTTTGACTTAACTGCCTAAGGTAACCAACAAACCTAAGGTATTAATCATGGCTCTTCCCTAAGTATGCATAGGTAAGCATCTAAGCTAAGATACCTCGCCCCCGGTGCCTACTCCGCATTGCGCTTTCATAGGGACAGAATATGGAGTAGAGGTACGCATAATAGAAGGGATTTTTTTGGGCCGGCTTGCCACATTCTGAGTATATTTCTGACCTCAGCGGAAGTTGTCAGAGCTCCTACAACCTCACATCCAGTTGACAGAAACTACTCCTTTACTACCCAGACAAGACATAGACGGCACTTCCATTGAACATTCTTCATCGCGTGGGCAGCGATGCCGCGCGGTGGGAAAAAAGGTGGCGCACGAGCGCCACCACGCAATGCCCCTCGCCTTCGCCCTCCCGGTGGTATAGAGCGGCATGCAGCCAGTTTCGTTCCTGCGATTAGCCCAGCCGGTCAGTATATGCCATTCTGATCGGGACTCGTCTCGGGCAGCACCTCCCATTGATGGCATGCAAGTTAACCGGGCTCGCAGCAGGGTTTACATTGCAAGACGAAGCCCGCAGCACCGCTCATCGCTCCTCACCCTGGAGCAGTGATTCCAAACTACGCCACAGGCCGGTTGCCTTCATCAATACTGGAGCTGCAGAGCCTCTCAAACAACTAGAGAGCATCTTGCAGATTGACGAGGGGAATTCTACAAGCAGACCTCAAGCGGAAATCGAAGGACAAACCATCACCGATGGCCAAGCTGCTGCCGACACACCTTCCCACGAATCTCAACCTGCTGTTTCGCTTGTCGAAGCTCACGTCCACGAGGCCGTGCCGGTCGATATTGCCGCCGAAATGACGGATGTCTCTCTAGACCCACGCGAGGTAGAGAAGGCTACGATGTCCGGAGCGGAAGACATCACTGGCGCTGAGGCTCCCATCACACCTCTTCCCTTCTTCTTCGACGTCGTGGGAGAGACTCAACGGCTTGACGCATTTGTCGATCAAACTCCAACTCGTTCTCCATCGCCTACGTCGTCCAACTCTAGCGAAGATGTCATTCTGTTCAGAGGTCGCAACAAGGTTCCCAGAGACAAGCAAAGTTCGAAGTCCAAGGCCAAATCGAAGCTGAATACTTTCAACCTGGGCGGCATCTCTACCGAGATCAACGTCCTGGAGAAGACCGTGATATCAAACAAAGACAGCAGCAGGGATATGCCTATGAAGACTGTCGGAAACTCTACACAGAAATCTCGTCGAAATGCCGCCAAAGACTTGAAGCGACAGGAGGACGATGAACTGATTGCTGACTATATTGCCAACATGAGGGAGTATGGTGAAGACGAAGCCCTGATGCCTGCCAAAGCCTATTCTCGCCGTGACATAGGCGGCTCTTTGAGCGAGTCTGAAGGCATCGATGACTCGTTCCAGACCGTCGTAGCCACGAGCAAGACCGAGGAGTTATCAGGCGTCAACAGTGAATCGGAACATGCGACTGCAGGGGTTAGAAAAGCGCCTAAGGAAAGCGACGAGAAACCTGTCCATAATGCACAGAGGCGATCCGAAAGGCGCAAAGTCATACAAGATGATCATGCACTAAGGGGAATTTTTGAGACGGACGTTTCCTACCTGGCATCACTCGAACAATCTCTTGCTGAAGACGCATCGCCGCCTTCTGACTCAAGCGACCAAGACGACGACGATATCTTCAGATCAGCAGCAGATAGATTTGCGAATGAGATCGACGATTTCGACTTCATGGACTGGAGCCGCCCGGCGTTGAAGCCTAAGAGGAGCAAGGGTGCCAGGGGCAAGGTTCCCGTGTTTGACATTTCGGACTCAGAGCTAGAGGGCAAGATGCAAGCTGCGTGGAAGAACGATCGCTTGAAAAAGGCTGAGAGGAAGAAAGAACGCCAAGCCATGCGTAGTATGGGATTGTTGGGTAAACATGCAAACCCGGAAGATCTCAGAGTCAAATATCCCCACGGTATGGGGCTTGAACAAATCGCCGATGAGCTAAGAACATTCCTCTTAGGCACTCAACCTAGGCAAGTTTCATACACTTCGAGTGCACTCAAGGTATTGGAGGCTGACTTATTACCGCAGTCTCACACTACCGCCCATGGACAACCATGCTCGCAAGGTGATTCACGAACTAGCCAGCAAATTTAACATCAAGTCCAAGTCCACAGGTTCGGGTGACCAAAGGCGACCCATGCTCCACCGCACTTTCAGGACCGCCAAATTTGCCGATGAGATCTTCGATGTAGCAATTGCTCGGGTCGGCCGCAAATACTTCCCTCGCAACGATACGGCAGTTCGGGCTGCCGTACAGAGGCAATCGGCTCGTAGGGGAGGTGGTGGTGGACACGCGGGAGTCGCCTATCGGGATGGCGAGGTCGTCGGGGGTTCCGCGCCTGAGTTGAGCCAGGAAAACAAAGGTCGTGCAATGCTCGAGAAAATGGGCTGGAGTAGCGGTACGGCGCTGGGCGCGATTAACAACAAGGGCATTTTGCAGCCTGTCGCCCATGTTGTCAAGCGTAGCAAGGCCGGGCTGGGATAACACGCATGGGCGGTCATCGCGGTGTCGCTGAATTTGCGGGACAGCGCGTTCAATGTCGTGCCCAAGATGGGTCGCTGTGGGCTGCTTTGCTAAAGGTGCTCCTGGGGCGCCGGTGAGCCTGTGTTCATACTTTAGTATGTGTGCACCGGGCACGTTTGCAACGAAGTAGACTTGTGTTGTTGATGTTCATGTGTACGATTTCATTCGTCCGAAAACCCTATTCTCAAGGTGTATTGTACAACCCGCGAACCCCGTTTGACCGTGAAGACATTGCCCCCAAAAAAGCAAACCATCCGTAACGCATTAAGAGACCCCAAGGATATTGGTAACCTTGGCAGGTCTCATCATGACACCCATATGCCAAGTAAAATCCAATGCCCGAAAAGAAAAGCAGTACAAGCACCCTTATTTCGTGGAAGAAGAGTACTTGGTAACGGCCTTGGTGCCTTCCGAGACAGCGTGCTTGGCCAGCTCACCGGGCAGGATGAGACGAACACTGTTGGGGCGGTTAGCTGATTCGGTTTCGGACCTGGAAAGATGACATACGAGGTCTGGATCTCGCGAGAGGAGATAGTGGACTTCTTGTTGTAAGCAGCAAGCTTAGAGGCCTCGGAGGCGACGCGCTCGAAGATGTCTGTGTGACGCGTTAGAAACGGTGCGTGCAGGTATTTGGAGCGATGTGTGCTTACCGTTGACGAAGGAGTTAAGGATAGACATGGCGCGGTTGGAGATACCAGTGTCGGGGTGGACCTGCTTCAGGACTGCAAATACTGTGTCAGAACGTGTCGGATACATAGTGTCGCGTGATGCGACGCGCCAACAAAGAACGCGAAGTGCCAATGTCACTTACCCTTGTAGATGTAGGAGGAGTAGGTCTCCTTGCGAGACTTGGTGCGCTTCTTCTTGTCGCCAGAGGCGGCGGTCTTCTTGCCGGCATCCTTCTTCTCGGGGGCCTTGGAGGCAGTGGCAGGGGCCTTGGAGGCGGGCTTCTTGTCGGCGGCCTTGGGGGGCATTTTTGCGGTTTGGATTAGTGAAGGTGGAAAATGAGTACGTGAGTAAGTTGGTTGAAATGGATTGCGACTGGCGACCGTGGATGAAGCTGGATGATGGAGTGAGGAAGAGTTGATGTGGCAGGAAGAAGTTTGGGGGGGTGGGCTGGGTTTTTGTAGCTGGACGCGACGGGATTCTGCGGCGTTACTGATTTGATGCGAGGACAGAGTGATTTTGGGGAGGGGTGGCCCAGGTGGGTGGTCAGTATCAGTGGCACACCGGGGCCTTAGGACTGGTGCCAGGGGCGTGCGCTGGTGAGGCCTTGCCTGGTAAAATGGGAATCGGCTGTCTTGGTTGGCTGAGAACTGGGTAGGTGGGTCTAGAGATGGAGGATCCGTAACCACCGCCCACGAGAGCGGCTACCGAACTGGGGTACTCACGCGTTCGCGCTAAAAAAACAAATACGTGACGCTCAATGTATCTTCTTTTTTTTTTTTTTAAATTCGCGTATCACGGAGCTGGCAGGCAGGGGACATTCGAGACTGCCAGAACAGGCTCCAACCAATAGCAGCGTCCCATCACAGGCCAACCAACAGTCTCCCGGTCAGGCAAAGCTAACAGGTCACGTATTTACTCACTGGTACCGCCCAAGACGACTGGCGATTCGTAGAAGCTAGAGAAAAGTCCACAAGCCAGATCAGAGATGCTTGCAAAGCTACAACATCACATGCGTATCGTTCTTGCAGCGTACCTACCGGCTACGGCGTCTGCCGCCTCAAGACCGCCGGTGCGGAAAGAAGTGATAGCTGAGAATCAATACACGTCTCATAGCATCTCTACAACACTCATATCCATAGTAAGTCGAGAGCAGAAGGCTTGTAGCAGTCCGCAGAGAATGTTCGGGTCGCCATGCCAATGAGCCGCCGAGCCACCTCATCTGGACATTTTAATATGTGCCTACCTGGTCCACGTTGCCCGAGGTTGCTAAAGACTCTAGACGAAGGCAGTATGACTTTTTACACGCTGCGCGCTGCAACTGCTTCTCGCTTGTATCCAGTGGAACGTGTGACACTGAGAGCAGTCTTTGGATTTGAGGAAATATGCGCCCTCTTCGACGCGTTGATTGCAGCTTGCGTCTTGCGATGGTGGGTGCGGCTAAGGTAGCCAGTGCCTGGACTTTTTGTCTCTATTAGGCCTAGGCCCGCATGGCTCTTTCGGAATTGACGGGGGGCTCAGTGACATTCTCTGCTCATTGCGATCCATACACATCTGTGATCTCAGGTAGAACGACCCCTAGATGAAGGAAGCATGCCCGTGAGCTCGCGGTCTTGGACGTGGAGTACCTGGCCTGCAGGATGTTGCATCTAGCAGGAGAAACACTATCCGCTATTCAGCGGCAGCCAGTGTAAACGCGATCGAAGGTAACGCGGTGGGCTCTGCAGTACATATCGGGACCCCTCCACTCTATGTCATTACAAGGCTGGGCCCGTTTGCCGTAGAAACACCACGAGTGGCATGCAGGGGTCGCTGTATCAGGCACTCCATGAGGCTCTGTCCACGATTACGACGGGGTCAAACAGAACGCGGGGCAGTCGATTTGAAGATTTCTCCGGACCCGATATGGGATGGAGCCGAACGATGGACCATGTGAGGCCCAGGTTCCTGGGTCTCATTAGGCTTCTTCACATGAGCTCACACCACATGTATCGGACTCTGTTCGTGCTATACAGCGGGTTCCGGTAGATCTGAGATCCATTCGGATGCAAGTCATATGGGGTCGAAATGTCACTGGATAGCGAAGCATACAAATGGCATAAAGTGGTTGAGATGCAACCCATTTGCCCTTCATTTACAAATAGACAACGAAGTTCGTCAAAGTTCGAACATGGATGGCAAATGCGCCTCGGGGTGACCTCTGCTGAATGTTAAACACGTAAAAGCCGATTCTCTCCGAGAGATCACTTTTCGAATTGAAATTCAGGATCCTTTTGTTCTGGGAATGAGAATACCGGTTGGAGCTATACGTGGGGGACGAGAGGGGGGGGTTGTGGAATATTGTCGTGCGTTAAGACAACACACGGCATCATCAAGAATATGAGTAAAGATAAAAACAAAGTCAATTGCATCAGTCCAGTAAGTTGGAAGGTACCCAGCTGATTTCGTCGTGGCGGTTCGTCCAAGAAACAAGGCCGAGGGGGAAGGTGGTTGATACGTAAGAGAAGGTGATCAAGACGCGGCTGGATGACCGCTTCTCCTAGCCAGTAAGATAATTCGAAAACCAAAATCCTGCGCGGAAGGGGGGGGAAATGTAGAAAGTGGAAATGGTGTTTGGGAAGGAAAAAAAAAAGTTGTTAAGAAGGGGGCGTGGGCAGATCCCGGCACTGTTTGTGGAAAGAGGAGCGGCACCGCGGGGGGTTTTATTTCCTTGCATTGATCGCATCTGGACGCAATCGCTCGCTACCTTGCTCCTGTGAGTCTTTGTCATGGAATGGAAGTCGCGTCTGGCAGGCTGGCAGCCCACCTTAAGGCTTATCTATAGCTCGCGTCCACCAAAGAAGCGGTACTGCTGTGGGCGGCAGCAGAACTGATAAGAGGTACGTACCCGTCTTCTAGCCCGGGCCCAGAAAAATGATGCACCGCACCTGCCTGCACCAGTCTACCACAACATCGAATTTCTGGTTTAGGCTTAGCGCCAAATCGCGCGTTGGTGATCCGTGATCGAGCTCCTCTAACGCGAAAACTACTTAACTTCTTCACTCCCCACCATCAACGCCCTTTCTTCCATCTTCATCTCACTTTTCCATCACCAACTCAAAGCCAGCCTTCAGCCAAGTCGCTTTTTACGCGTCTACCTCAATACCCAACTTTTTCACGTAACTCAACCCCAAATCCCAAATTCACAATGACTGGAGGCGGCAAGTCCGGCGGAAAGGCCAGCGGTTCCAAGAACGCGCAATCGTAAGTTGCTCCCTCTCACTTGAAGCTTTCCAAGAAAGGCCGCATTTACACTATTATGCGATGTTCTTCGATCCAAGCTCAAGCTTCATCCACTGACCTTATATCCCACAGTCGTTCCTCCAAGGCCGGTCTCGCATTCCCCGTTGGTCGTGTTCACCGTCTGCTCCGCAAGGGCAACTACGCTCAGCGTGTCGGTGCCGGTGCCCCCGTCTACCTCGCCGCAGTTCTTGAGTACCTCGCCGCTGAGATTCTCGAGCTGGCTGGCAACGCCGCTCGCGACAACAAGAAGACCCGTATCATTCCCCGTCATCTTCAGCTCGCCATCCGCAACGATGAGGAGTTGAACAAGCTTCTCGGTCACGTCACGATCGCCCAGGGTGGTGTTCTGCCCAACATTCACCAGAGTAAGTTGACCTTCCATCTTCGGTCCCTTTTTTTTTCTACTTCAATTGCTAATGATACTTCAAGACCTGCTGCCCAAGAAGACTGGCAAGACTGGCAAGAACCAGAGCCAAGAGTTGTAAACGGGTGTCGGTTTTGGGTTTTTTTCGTGCTGGTCGGCTGCTTTGGGTTGTCATGACATCGGGGTCACGGTTCAGGGTTCACGGTTGATTTTCACGTTTGGGTTGTACAATAATACCACGGCAGGAAGCTATGGTTACGAATGAGAATACCTTTTGAAGATCATGTTTCGCACATTGGGTTGATTGCGATGCTGTTTGTGTACTGACTCATGGCTGGTCGGTTTGCGCGTTGCGTTGTTTCCTCTTTTGTCGACTGTCTGGGAAGTCTGAGGTTGGACAGAAACACGTATATATGATATGCAGCATGTCCATGTTGCTACTTTTCTCTAGGCTGGTGAATAAGGCACATTCCTCGAACTTTTAGGATGTTGCCTCTTGTGTGATAGCAAACGGGAACTCGGTCGGTGGCACCATTGGATTCGTCATACCACTCACGCGACTCGTTGCGACAAGACGACTTGGAGCTATTGAAATCGGGTGATGTTGTATTATACAGACTTGTAGAGAGACCGGGGGGAAGCTATGCTT